TCCCTTTATATCGGCAATTTCATGATCTTTCAAAGTATAATATCTTAATACTTGACGTTATTATGATTCTTTTTGAAGGAGGCCAACAACAGTGGAAGAAATTCTCACAATAGAGATAAAACCAGGGTGGAAAAAGGGTACAAAAATAACATTTCCCGAAAAGGGAAATGAACAAAGAGGAGTAATCCCTTCAGATCTTATTTTCATAATTGACGAAAAACCCCATGCTGTTTTCAAAAGAGATGGAAACGATTTAGTGGTGACTCAAAAGATATCATTAGCAGAGGCTTTGACTGGATGCAGTGCACAGGTGACAACACTTGATGGGAGAAGTTTGACTTTACCAATAAACTCTGTAATAAGTCCAACTTATGAAGAAGTGGTCAAAGGTGAAGGGATGCCAATACCTAAAGAGCCCACAAAGAAGGGGAATTTGAGAGTTAAGTTTAATATAAAGTTTCCTACAAGGCTTACTTCTGAGCAGAAATCTGGGATTAAACGCCTTTTGACTTCTTCTTGAATTGGGGATGAAGGACCCCTTGAATATGTATTTGGGGTTGGAATTGTTAGAGTTGGGAAATGTTTATTTATGATATTTTATGGATAAAGTTTGATAGATTTTGTTTTGGATTTTGTGGTGTTGAATATGATGAATTTGGTATTATTTGGTTTTGGAGTGAAATGATGCTCCATTTGCAGGATTTTAGTTGCTCAAAACAAATAGGATTTTGGTCTTTTTGGCAACTATTTGTTGGTTTGTTTACATTTTTACCAATTTAAGTAGTGTTATGGTTTGTACCTTTTATTGATGTTAAATCTGATAAAAGAAATGCATTTGGAGGGTGTGTTTGACATTAGAGCTTTTGATTTTTAAGGAAAAAGTTTGAATTAGATAAAAAGTTTTGTTCGGGAGTATGAGCTTAATTAATTCAAAAACTACATCTAAGTAGTTTTAGAGAGTTTTTAGTTTTTATGTAATTTTACGTCTTTAAAAGTTTCTAGTTAGTTTGCCCTATATTTTTACATAAATAAAAGTTATACTTTGCAGTTTTATGTTACCAGTTAGTTTTGTCAAACACTTTCTCATAGGGTTGATTATTAATTGTTATATATTTTCACTTTTGAGCTTTTGTTTTAGGTTTGAATCTTTAGAGTAAATTACATATTTCATTTGTGTTGTAAAGAGCTTTTGGGATTAAATCGTTTTTATTTTTGTTTCCTATTTTAAAATTTACTGTTAAGTAACACTTTAACTTTATGTTCTTGACATTTTTGTGTCATGGTTTATTCCTTAAAATGACTCATTTCCTTTATTAATGTGTTTTGTTAGCTATTAGGGCAATGATTGTTTCGTGATTTTTTGTGGAATTCGAAGGAATTAAAATGAAATATTCTTCTGATACAACCTTTAAATGGTATTTGGTTTGCATAATGGTTCAAAAAGAATTAGAATCGGTCAAGGAATTGAAATTTGTCGGGAATTGTAATCAAATTTCATATTGTTTTTAGTTGCCATGAAATGAAATTTGTCAGGAATTAAAATGAAACATTTTTCCGATGAAGTTTGATAGATTTTGTTTTGGATTTTGTGTTGTTAGGGTGATGTGTTGAATATGATGAATTTGGTATTATCTTGTTTTGGAGTGAAATGATGCTCCATTTGCAGGATTTTAGTAACAGTTTCTATCATTCAATTCTTACTCAAAACAAATAGGATTTTGGTCTCTTTTGGCAACTATTTGTTGGTTTCTTTACATTTTACCAATTTAAGTAGTAGATAAAAGAAATGCACAGGGTGTGGGTTTGTTTGACATCCAGTTTTTGACTTTTAAGGAAAAAGTTTGAATTTAATAAAAAGTTTTGTTCAGTGTAAAGTTTTTATTTTAAACAAAAATAATAATTTAAAACCAGTTTGCCCTAAAAATAATAATTTAAAATATAGGGCAAACTAACCGGGAAACTTTTAAAACCATTAAGGTATGGCCAACTAATTAGATTTCATTCTCCCCACTTCAATTAAAAAGACATATATCCTTTTATTCTCATCAAAGATACATCACTTTTTTTTGTTAACACAACACAAAACCCTATTCATATGATTTTGTATTTCACATCAGTTGTATAGCCAATCTCTTTGATAACTTTTTTTTATCTAAAATTTATTATTTAAATAAATTATAATGGGTTGAAAACTTATCAAAGTTCATTTTAATCACAAAAATGAGAGATCATGCAACATTCACTAACCTCGTGCTGAAGAGGACTAAGTTTATATGCTGGGTGGGGCGGGCATGTAGCATGCTTTCATTTTTATTAAAGCTCTAATTACATAATTTTTAAGCTTTAAATTTGAAAAGCATTGCAAAATGCAATTGATTTTTATCAAAAGAATGTAGAAAATATGGCTCCGTAATTAAAAAAAATTACTAGATTGCAATTTTGTCATTTTTATGAAACAAGAAACAAATTAGAAATAAAAATTACTTTGGCCTTTTTACATAATTTACAGTTCATATCATTTGGCAGATTTACAAGCCAAAACCAAAGATTAAAAGAATTCAATGTTACAAATTATAATTACTTGAGATTTCTTCAAATTCCAATTCTTTTAAAAGATTTCATTATTTCCGAAAATATTTTGTGAACAAACGTCCCTTTATTGTTAAAGCATAGAAAAGTGATTTTGTGTGAAACCGAAAATATTCAAGAAAAATGGCTAAATACAGATCGTTGGACAACTAATCAACATTAGTCATCGTTGTTGGACCACGTTGTGGCTGGAAGACTTATACTCGATATTTAAATGTTGTGACGTATTATTACGATATAGTCACCATTAATGAGAATGGATTATTCATGGGAAAATATTATGTCTTACATGGTATTAGAGTCCGTGTCTTAACCGATCCTTGTGTGACATCATCAAGCCTTCGTCTGCAATAATCATTTATGTTTCTATATATGTTGGAGTCTCTCATCTCTTCATAAGGAGTCAACATTTTTCTCTTCTTCTTCTTCATAATATTACTCATACCTACATTAAGGAGCATAATCATAATGTAGGTGTGGGTAACATTATTGAGAAGAAGAGAAAAATGTTTCTTTGAATCACCAAGATCAATCTTAGTGAACAAATGTTTCTTAAAGATTAAGGTGGAAACAACCTAGACAAGACATTGGAGTTAAAGTGATATACCGTTTTATGGGTGGTTTTTCGTAACACATATGGAAGCATATCTTTTGGTACATTCATATAAATCTTTTGGTAAAACATATACCATTTTATATATGATCTTTTGTATATTTAAACTATATGTGAATCGAAGTTCGTTTTGTTTATATGTTTTCATAACACGTTATTAAAAAACTTAGAACTTTATTACACTTGTTAGCAAAACTCATTAAAACTTCAAACTTCATTACAATTTGAACTTCATCAAACTTCATTACAACTTCAAACTACATTACAATTAAGTTTACTACAAAAGAGTAAACAGCGAAAATACGAAACATTTGTAAATTAACAATTTGGAATTAATTGTCTAATTATGTTATAACAATTATTAGCTTCTTGATCCATCCTTAACTTGTGCATATCTATGTTCCATAATTGCACTCTTCAAATCAAAATATTACATTTCATCTTTCCTTATTGTCTTCAACTTCATATAAAGATCATATACAATAAGTGATACCACTTATATGGAAGTCTAGGGCAATCCATTCCTAGAAAGAATGTTTTCTTCTTCTTCTTCTTCTTCTTCTTCTTCTTCTTCTTCTTCTTCTTCTTCTTCTTCTTCTTCTTCTTTAATAATTTTAATCCTACACAAACAATAAGAATCTAGTATCATTCATAACATTTGTTGCTTTAATTCAACAACCAATGAAAAAGTTCACTTAACATAGAACTAGGGATGAGAAGGCCCAATCCGGATGAATCTGGATTGCACCCATATTTGCATTAGATATGTATGGGAACGACAACATTCAATGCTTCTTTTTTATTGCCTCATTATATTGGTTTGGGCTAATGACAACAATATCAATAAATTTAGATTGATAAACACATTGTTCGTTTTAAATTTACAATATCATACTATCATGTAAAATTCGCTAACACAAAAACAGTATCCAATTAAAGTGAAGAGTTTCAAACAAAAGGAATTGAGTTTAAGGACGAATAATTCACAATTAAAAAGAAAATAAGATATTATGTACATAAAAACACTTAGGGCTGTAAACGAACTGAACCTTCGGCGAACCGTTCGTGAACTGTTCGGCGGGAAGTTCGTTTATTTAATAAATGAACGAACACGAACAAAAATTATCGTTCGTTAAGTTAAATGAACGAACATGAACAATGGTCTCGTTCGTTCATTTATATTCGTGAACGTTCGTTTATGATGTTCGTTTACGTTCGTTTATGTTTGTTTGTTTAAGTTTATTTATATTCATTTATATTTAAATTTTTTTATTATATTGCTATATTATATGTTCGTTTATGTTCATATATGTTCATATATGTTCAGTTGTGTTTTTTTTATCTTTGTTCGTTTATGTTTGTTCGTTTATGTTCGTTTAGCATGTTCACGAACATAAACGAACGAACATGAACAAGGTAATTTGATAAACGAACGAACATGAACAAGAAAATCTCGTTCGTTTATCCGTTCGTGTTCGTTTGTTGTTCGGCTAACTTAAACGAACGAACATGAACAAGACCTTGTTCGTGTTCGTTTGATTCTTTTACAGCCCTAAACACACTTATAAATCATTAGCCATGTATATTTTCATCCAAATTTTAACCAATTTACCTATTTCGGGTTGTACAAACCACCACATAATTAGGGCCGGCTCACAGTGATTAAAATTAGTATTTTAATATTAAAATTGTATGTCTTTAATATATATACAAATACTTTTTTTTAAAAATTTATAATACAATACAAATAAAATCAAAAATAAATTATCAAAGTAGTTTAGGGACCATTAAAAAAGAGGTCTTCGACTTCGTTGTGGTCTTCCCCAATCCCTACAGCAATTCGGTCATTCCTGCTTGTGTGTTTCGCCTTTTTATCTCGTCTACTGCCAAAAATCCGGAATATTGCCTTAATCAATCCCTGCACAAAAAACACAGAGAGTATGATCAATGTTCTACACTTTAAATTGAAATCACTTTATTGAGATCTCCTTTTTCTTTTCTTCTCTTTCATATGGAAATGGCTTCAATTTCTTCGAGTCCTCGTACAGTAGAAGAGATCTTTAAAGATTACAGCGGTCGTCGTGGCGGGATAGTTCGTGCTTTAACTCATGGTAATTCAATTTGTAACCCTAACCCTAGTTTTAACCCCCAAAAGCTTCCGATTTTTCACTTGCTAGTTGCTAACTATCTCTTTTTTTCAATTAATGTTCTCAGATGTTGACGAATTCTATGGCATTTGCGATCCAGGTACTTTCCCTTTTGAATCTTTCGGCATATCATTTTTTTCTTGTTGGATTTCAATTTGCTTTCACATGCATACAAAATCATATTACAATTATTCAGCTAAAAGCCTAAAATCAATTTCTTGTTGCAATTTGTCATAAAATCAAATCCAATGTGGGAATTTGAAACATGATTCCAGAAAAAGATAACTTGTGTCTGTATGGACATCCGAATAAAAATTGGGAAGTGAGTCTTCCAGCGGAGGAAGTTCCACCAGAGCTCCCTGAACCTGCACTCGGAATAAACTTTGCAAGAGATGGAATGAACAGGAAAGATTGGCTCTCACTTGTTGCTGTTCACAGTGATTGTTGGTTGCTATCTGTTTCTTTCTATCTTGGAGCAAGGCTAAATCAAAATGAAAGGTGCTTATATTTCTTCATTTATTGCTAAATTCTATGACTTTTCAATATTTACACTTGCAGAATGCTATAATAAACAAATAAAGGAAACTAGGTTTCTGTTTCTTGCATTTAATTGTATGTTTGTTTACAGGAAGCGTCTGTTTAGCTTGATTAATGATCTGCCAACTGTCTTCGAAGTTGTAACAGAAAAGAAACCTGTAAAAGACATGGTGCATGGTGCAGATGGTGGAAGCAAATCTAAAAGTGGCACAAAGGTATAACAAAATTTGAATTCAATTCCATTCCAATTCCATTTGGTTGCAAATGGGAATGGATTCGAATTCCATTACAACTCACAAAATCCTTTGAATGATTGATTTCAACATTCCGTATTCTATAAACCCATGGATTTCAATTCCCAACATTTCCTCCTGCTTAAACTACTCAAATACCCTTTTAACCCTAGAATTTTACAAGTAAAAAGCTTTTCTCACTCACGAATTCCATTCCGTGCTTCAAATTCCAATCCCTTCCAAAAATTACTGTCTGGAATCTGGATGGTATTTTGGGGTATGGAATGTGTCAGAGGATTTCTAGTTTCGAGAAACTAGTCAAATACTTAAAAAAGTGAAAGAAGGGTAATTTTGTCATTTACCATGTATATACATTTTAAATTCCAAAACCTTTCGACAGATATAAAAAACCAAACAAGATTTTTCAAAAAAATCGGATTTGGAATCAGAAGGATTTAGAATCTGTCATGTGTTTGGTTGGTAGGATTTGCCTTATTTGCATCGAAATTGAAATTCATTCTTTTTTCTAAAATCTTGTTTAGTTTGTAAATCTGTCAAAAGATTTGAATGCATATATATAGAATTGACTAAATCGCCCTTCTTTCATGTTTTAAGTATTTAACCCGATCTGGAATGCATATCTGGTAAATGACAAAATCGCCCTTTCTTTCATGGAATGCATATCTAGTATATGACTAGTTTCTGAAATATAAACTTTATTTTTTATGTAAAAAAAATTTGCAGAGATCAAGTGATGGACAGGTTAAAACTGTTGCAAAGGTAGCAGCAGTAGAAGAGAATTACGAGGATGATGATGATGATGATGATGATGATGATGATAATGATGATGAAGAAGAACATGGGGACACACAGTGTGGGAGCTGTGGTGGAAACTACAATGGAGATGAGTTTTTGGATCGGGTGTGACATATGTGAAAGATGGTATCATGGCAAATGTGTAAAAATAACACCTGCCAAGGCCGAAACCATAAAGCAATACAAATGCCCGTATTGCGTTATGAAACGAGCCAAACCCTAGTACTACTCTTATCCACCCAAAAGTCACTCCTAGGTTTCTAACTCTTTTTCTTATTGTTGTAAAAGATTGTTTTATAATGAACTTAAAACCTTTTGATTTATAAAGTGAGATTATTCGTTGACTGTTATTTATTGGTTTTGTAATAGGGTTATTCTTCTAGCAACTTTTGAACTGGTCCATTCTGCTTTGTTTTGTTTGTTTCCTCTGATGGATATCATGTGAAACGAACAGTAAATCAGGTACACAACAGCCTATTAGGTGGCTGACGTAAGTGTGAAGTGGTCAAACATGAACATCATGTGAAAAAACAGGTACACAACAGGCTGATGTAAATGTCAAGTGGTCAAACAAGCTCGATTCACATTGGAATTGGACCTTCATATATGGTTGGTAAAAGAGACCTATGGTCGTAAAGAGCTAAATTTATGTTGAATTTGGTACTTTTATGGTATGGTTGTTGAGACTCAAATGGTATGGTTTATGTTTTTGCAAAGATAGTATATGGTAATCGTGGTAACTCTCCAAACAAAGTAGTACATTGTTAGAAACAAACTCTAACTTATGGTAAATCCCAATTTTTTTAATGAAAGGAAGTAGAAGGAAGAGAAATAAAGTAGTACATCTTTCTGGTAACTTTCCTTACAAAATGGAAGGATCCGATGAGAAAGTAAATATAAGGCAATATTTACCGATTTACCATTCAAGGCTTCAACCTAATATTAAAAAAAATAATAATAATACATACATTTTATAATCTAGATTTTCTTCAACGCCTCTTACATACACTGTATTCTCCATCATTAGACGATTCAAACTTGTACTATTCAACCTGACTTTCCTTTCTTTTCTTTTGAGTCTTTTTCTCGCATCCATTCTTCATACGATTGTGGATTGTCAGAACAAAAATCTTGGATGCAACGAAATGGAAATTTTTATCAAGCCGCGTTCTCATAGCTATAAATCTAAATATAGAAATATTATATAGATATAAATTAATCTTAATCTTGTAATCAAAGAAAGATAGTGAAAAATTTTCTTATCTTTTGACTTAGAATAAAGGGTTCTCCATGAAGGAACCAAATGACAATTTATTCCTATAGAACATCTAGGAACAAGACGATTGAATTGGAAATATCGACAAATTCTTGGGGAGTCCAACGAAATGAAAATAAATAAAAGGTCAATTTGTTCCAATTTCATCTCTATTGAATTTGAATATCAGAATAGCGGATATAGTAATGATTCAATGGGTCAGGTCCACTTATTTTTCTTTGATTGATCTATAATCTTTACAATAGATTTCATTAGCCTAATTGAAAATAGGAAGATTTGATGATTCAACAGATGACTTATCATTCATGATAACTATAACTAATATACTCTAACAACTAATATACTATAACTCATTAGACGATAATATTATACAGTTTGTTACTTTTAGTTGGTTACTTTTTTATTACTATTTTTTTTATTACTATTAATAATATCGCTATTCTTCTTTCAAATATGAATACTATGACTGGAAAAAATACAAAGCCCCTAATTGGATTTGAACCGAGGGCTTACGTCTTACCATGTCATTACTCTACCACTGAGTTAAAAAAAAAGGGCTTGGTTCATGGAATTCCTAAACGGGTCACTTTACTATCTAGATAAAATATATCTATATAACAAGATATATACCTACTTCTTATATAAGTATAAGAAGTCCATCTACACATAGACAGAAGCGCTCGACAAAAGGTCCATTTATATATAATAATTTGCACTGTGGCGGGTATAGTTTAGTGGTAAAAGTGTGATTCGTTCTATTAACCCCCTTAATAGTTAAGGGGTCATTCGGTTTGATTCATATTCCGATCAAAAACTTTATTTCATTAAAAGGATTCAATCATTTACCTTTCAATGACACATTCAAGGAAAAATATAAATTTTTGGGATTTTTATCCAAAGGTCAATTAAAAATGAAAACTTGGATTATAAAATTGCGAAACAAAATTTTAAAATTAGATAAATACTTCCAATTGAATGTGTATGAATAAAGAATCCATGGATGAAGATAGAAAAGTAGATTTCTAATTTCTAATCGTAACTATCAATTTTTGTTTGTATTTGTAGAGAATAAATTGAAGCAAAATAGCTATTAAAGAATATCTTTAGTTTACTAGAGACATCAACATATTATTTTAGCTCGGTGGAAATAAAATCATTTTCCTTAAGACTCTCTCAAATAGAAATAAAGAACGAAGTAACTAGAAAGATTGTTAGAATTGTCTTCTTCTAGAGGGATCATCTATAAAACGAATCGTTTTGAATTGAATATATTCAAACAAAAAGCTGACATAGATGTTATTGGTATCATTTTTTTTGTAAGTTGGTGCACAACTGAAATCTAGCAATTTATCCATTTTCAATAATACATATATAATACATTTATCCTTTTCCCTACTTTTGTTTTGTCCTTATTTTCCTTACCTTTGTTTTCTTTCCATTACTAAACTTGGAACACCACCTAAATGAAAAGTAGTGTAGTTGAAACATAAATGTTCCTTGTTCAAGGATCATTTCTGTCCATTTCTATAACTTAAAGGTCTAAACGGGCATAAACCCATTACTTAAAACGAGAGCATAGAATCCTAAACAGCCTCCATTCGCCACTTTACTTATCTCTCAAACAAAACACACACACACACACAGCACAGTGCTACGAATCAATGGACGGAACCGGAGTAGTGGCGGTGTACGGTAACGGGACCCTAACGGAGAGCAAGAAATCACCATACTCCGTCAAGGTTGGCCTCGCTCAGATGCTCCGTGGCGGCGTCATCATGGACGTCGTCAACGCAGAACAAGCCCGCATAGCCGAAGAAGCCGGCGCCTGTGCTGTCATGGCCCTGGAGCGCGTTCCGGCCGACATCCGTGCTCAAGGCGGCGTTGCGCGTATGAGCGACCCACAACTCATTAAGGAAATCAAACAGGCCGTTACGATTCCAGTCATGGCGAAGGCTAGGATTGGGCATTTCGTTGAGGCGCAGATTTTGGAGGCGATTGGAGTTGATTACGTAGATGAGAGCGAAGTTTTGACGTTGGCTGATGATATGAATCACATCAACAAGCATAATTTCAGGATTCCGTTTGTTTGTGGTTGTCGTAATTTGGGTGAGGCCTTGCGTAGGATTCGTGAAGGCGCCGCCATGATTCGTACCAAAGGCGAAGCAGGAACTGGTATGCTTTCTCGAAACTCTAAACCCTAAACCCTATTTCGGTTTCGTTGTTTATTTCGTGAATCTATTTCACTATTGTACTCTAGAGCTAGAAAAATAATTCCCTTTAACGATTCAAGATTACGAATCACTATTTTAATGAATCCATTTTTGATCCTTCTGATTCTTGCATTGTTTTTTAGGCAACATAATTGAGGCAGTGCGACATGTAAGATCGGTGATGGGGGACATAAGGGTTCTTGCAAATATGGATGATGATGAAGTCTTCACTTTTGCCAAAAAAATCGGCGCCCCATATGATTTGGTGATGCAGACCAAACAATTAGGGCGGCTTCCGGTGGTGCAGTTTGCCGCCGGTGGTGTTGCAACTCCGGCGGATGCCGCCCTGATGATGCAATTGGGATGTGACGGTGTGTTTGTGGGGTCCGGTGTGTTCAAAAGTGGTGACCCGGCTCGTAGGGCTCGAGCCATTGTTCAAGCGGTCACACATTACACGGACCCCAAGGTGCTTGCGGAGGTGAGCTGTGGTTTGGGTGAAGCCATGGTTGGGTTGAACCTTGATAACAATGTTGAAAGGTATGCTAATAGGTCTGAATAAGGAAGGGTGTATGGAGTTGTTTATTGTGTTTAATTTAAGATTGTTGGGAAATAATCTTGTTTGTTTTGAAGCAAGTTTGATTTGTTATATAAACAAAAATATATTATTGAGTTCTTACTTCTTGGATTTGTATCCCCTGATATGGTGATGGTGACAGAATCATGCATATATTCGTTTCATCATCTTCATTTACTAATTTGCTAAACAATTTCTTTTAGTTTTTAGTTTTTATATGATAATTATCATATGGTATCATACAATGATCCAAACAAAGTTTATTAAGTTTTTTTTTAAAATTATTTACAACTTACAACATGCATACCAAAGTCGACACATATTAACAAAACACCAAAGTCAATTAACTTGAATGTTGATTGTTCTAAACTTCAACTGTAAATTCTTCAATCACCAATCAAGTTTTTATTGCTAACATTGGATATTTGCTCTTAATTATTGTTAGTAAATCGTCATCACCAACCACCGGTTTGATTCTTAATATTTGTGAAGGATGAGAACCATCCAAATGGAGAATTCAAGTAATGTATATGCCATTAGTCTGATCCTTTATAGAAGCTATCCATAATAACTAACTTTGAAAAAGAACCCACCATTTATCATATAGTGATCAACCATTCCCTACCTACTTCACCTTAATTGTTATTTGGACAAGTTAAAGTTTTGTTTTGGTCCATGTGGGGATATAATTTCTCTCCTACATGTAAATGAGAGAGAGAGAGAGACAGAGAGAGTTGCACTTCATATACGGGAGGAGCTTATTGATGACTTTGGCCCATGGATGTAGCAATAGATTTGTGCATGAATTTTTTAATCATTCCAGGGAAACAATTCATAGGCATTTCCATACAGTTTTGACAGCCATGCTTAAGATGAGTGCCGACATCATCAGGCCAGACGTCAACTATAATGATGAAGTTCCAGAATATATATTAAACAATCCTTGATATTATCCAATGTTCAAGGTATTATCTAATGTTCAGTTACTTCACCAAATGATTTATTTATGATATATTTTTGTATTTGTAGGATTGCATTGACACTATAGATGGGACACACGTTAGGGCATCGGTTCGACAACATGAGGAAGCAAAATACATTGGTCGAAAGGGATATGCTACACAAAATATAATGGATGTTTGTGATTTTAACATGTGTTTTACATTTGTGTTAGTCGGATGGGAGGGGACTGCACATGACACAAGAATTTTCAATGAAGCCTTACAGAGACCAGATCTTCATTTTCCATTTCCAACGGGTGATTAGTATAAATTTTTAGTAACACAAGTTTTATATTTTTAATACTTGTTTGAAACGAATAACAAATGTTTGTTTTATTTACAGATAAATATTATGTTGTTGATATCGGATACCCAAATACCAGAGGGTATCTTGCTCCATATAAAAGAACTAATATTCGTTATCATATACCGGATTTTCGACGTGGGGATACTGCTGCTATGCGTGAACCTCGTGGACCGAAAGAGAAATTTAACTTTTACCATTCATCATTGCGAAATATCATTGAACGAACTTTTGGAGTGTGGAAAGCTAGGTGGGCATTGAAGGGGTATGGATAAATGATGCCTAAAACTTAATCCAAACATTTTTTTTAAACTGCTTTTTGAAAAAAAACAATAAACCAATAAAAAGCACTTTTAATTACAAAAACCATTCTCAAACACCGCTTCATCAGTGTTTTAAAAACCGGTTCGAACCGGCCGGTTGAACCGGCCGGTTGAACCGGTCGAACCGGGAACCGGAGGTGAGGACGGTTCAATTTGGACCGGTTTTATGACAATTTCCTGACCGGATTGAACCGGCCGGTTTTGGTAAAAAACCGGTTCAACCGACTGAATTGAACCGGAATGGACCGGATTGAACCGGACAGTCTTTGATTTTTATGTTTGTTTTGGGCTTCTTTATTTGATTTTAAGCTTCTATAATGATTGTTTTTATATGTTGCATTCTATTTACATTTGTAATACTAAAAAGATGACAAGTTTTGTAATCAATGTATGCAGGATAGTTAAGGTTTGACCATCCGGTTGAACCGGTTGAACCGGTTAACATCACCCGACCGGTTCAATTAAAAAACCTGTTTTTAAAACATTTAGCTTCATAGAAAATAGGCACCGGCAAACCACAAACTCACCTTCCAATCACATTCTTTAACGTTTCCGTTTTTAAGTTATCTCATATCTACTTTACAAAATCTCTTACCAAATCATATGCTCCATTTCAAATATACCATCTTATAGCTTACAAGTTCCTTCTCCTTGATCTCTAGATAGGAACACCAATCTCTGATGACTAATAACGATTAAAACTTCAAGCAGAAGATCAAATGTCTGGATATGTACTCTCTTCAACTTCGTTACCTGTTCCTGAAACCCACCAAACGAATTCTCTAAAACCCACATCACAAACCCTCGACAATGATATTCTCTACACTTTCAAATCACCATTTGAGCTCAAACAAATCCACGCCCAAATCATCAAAACCAACACCTCTCCCTCTATCTTACCAATTTCCCGTGTTGCCTCTGTTTGTGCCCTAACTCCCACCTTCCCCTACGCTCAAAAAATCATTCAGCTCTCTAACAAGCCCGAGACTGTTATATGGAATTCATGTCTGAAAGCTTTTGCCGAGAGTGATTCGCCAAATGATGCGATTCGGTTATTTTATCAATTATGCAAACACGATGTTCCTCTGGATGCCTTTACTTTTTCTTTCCTTCTAAAAGCTTGTACGAAACTTTCGTATGGATTATACGGGAGGATTATCCATGGGTTCATTGAGAAACTCGGGTTTCAATCAAACTTGTTTTTACAGAACAGTATGGTTCATTTATACGCAGTCTCTGGCGAAATTGATAACGCCTGCTTACTGTTCGATAAAATGTCTGAACGAGATGTTGTCACATGGAACATAATGATTACACAGTTGGTGAAAAAGGGAAACGTAGATGAAGCCTATGGTTTCTTTTCTAGAATGCCAGAGAGAAACGTGAGGTCATGGACATCAATGATCATGGGATTTGTACAATGTGGAAAACCCAAAGAAGCAATCGATCTTTTCACCCAAATGGAAGACAAAATGTTATCTCCTAACGAGGTCACTTTAGTAGCTGTTCTTGCAGCATGTGCAGATATAGGTGCACTTGATTTAGGAAAAAAGATTCATGATTCTTTAAAGAAAAAAGGATTCACAACAAATATTCACATTTGCAACACTTTAATAGACATGTACATCAAATGTGGATGCCTAGAATCAGCTCTTACTATTTTCAACAACATGGAAAAAAGAACAATCGTATCATGGTCAGCCATGATCCAAGGTTTAGCCATTAATGGAAAAGGTGAAGAAGCTTTCAAATTGTATTCCCAAATGATCCAATCACAAATCAAACCAAATGGGGTCACATTTATTGGACTTCTACATGCTTGTAGCCACATGGGCATGGTAAAAAAAGGTCTTCAACTTTTCAAAAGTATGACTAAAGATTATAAAATAGTTCCAAGAATTGAACACTATGGTTGCATGGTTGATCTTTATAGTAGAGCGGGTTTACTCAAAGAAGCTCATGAATTTATAAAAAATATGCCAATTAAACCAAACGGGGTAGTGTGGGGAGCTTTGTTAGGTGGTTGTAGGGTCCACAAGAACATAGAAATGGCAGAAGAAGCAATCAAACATCTTTTGGAACTAGATCCACTCAATGATGGATACTATGTTGTTTTATCCAACATTTACGCAGAAGCTAAAAGGTGGGATGACGTGGCAAGAGTGAGAAAGTTGATGAGAGATAATGGGGTGAAGAAAACACCAGGGTCGAGTTCAATTTCCATAAATGGAATAGTCCATGAGTTTGTGGCTGGAGATGAGACTCATCCTGAAAATGATGCAATTCAAGAAAGATGGAAGGAGTTATTAGAAGAAATGAAGAAAAGAGGGTATGTGCCAAATACTTCGGTTGTTCTTCTTGATATTGAAGAGAGTGAAAAGGTTAGGTTTTTATTAGGGCATAGTGAAAAGTTAGCAGTTGTGTTTGGGTTGATGAAAATGGGAGATGGGATGCCAATTAGGGTGATGAAGAATTTACGTGTTTGTGAAGATTGTCATGTTGCTTTGAAGATGATATCAGAGATTGTTGATAGGGAGATTGTTGTTAGGGATCGAAGTCGGTTTCATTGCTTTAAAAATGGTGTGTGTTCTTGCAAAAATTATTGGTAATTAATGTATGTAATTTGGTTACACTATTTTAATCAATTAATTGTGCAATGTGTATTTGAATATATCAAAAAGATTCAACTTTACATGGTGTATGTTTTGTAATGCATAATAGCTTTCCATTAGACCTTGTGGTTGTTAAACTATTAGTTAGTTTAATTAGTGTTAGATCCGACAATGTTTTCTTGTCTTCTATGTAATTTAAAATTTGTTAGGCTTTTTGAATGATGCTTCCTTTTGTTTTATGTAATTATAAGAGAATATGAGGTTAATCTCATAAAAGACTTTATATTTTGTGTATTTTTCGGATTAAATCTTAAATTTATTTTTTATCTGAAATCTTGTATTTTTTTATTTTTTCCAATCTGATCCTTTTAGTCATTTTTTTTCCATAAAATTGTAAAATGTGAGTCTTTTTTCGAGAAAAACTAAAAAAGTTGAAGGTTTATTTGGAAGCAGTCAGAAGGTTGAGGGTTTTTTTTATCGGAAAAAAAGACAAAGTTGAAAGTTTTTTTTGGAGAAAATAAAAAAAATACAACTTCTTTTTTCAGACAAAAAATAAAGTAATCCGAAAAAAAAAAACACAAAATATAAGATCTTTTATGAGATTAACCTTAAAATATGTTGCATTTTATTTTTATTTACATCAATTTGAGAGGAAGCCATAAAAACACATTTCCTTTTTATTTTAGAATAGTGATAGTGATTAGAATTGTATAGTTTTACATAGACTTGTTCTCAAGAAACCCGTTAAGAAATAAGTAGAACATAACGGCTAATTCGTAAGTAATATTAAAATACTTGTTGAATTTCTTGATTATTTATGAAAGATGAACATATATATATGGCTTATTTAAAGTACAATACAATCCAACATGAACAAAACTCTGGAGCAAACCAACAATATTGCTCTAATTAGCAAAAGAATTGAACCAAGTTGGAACGAGTGGCGAATGGCAAAAGGCTGAACTCCATGGAAAGATATTGTCTTGAGAAGGAAATGTGACGTTTCCACCTTTTGGAAGGTGAATATTGTTATGAATGTTATTTAGTGAAGTAGGTTTCAATCTGTGAGTGTGTGCCATAAGTAGATCATCTTCATCATCAATCCTACTTCTTTTTGCTTGTTTAGGTCTCATCTCGTTTGTGTCCACTTCAGAATCGGATTCCAAATCCTTCATAATAGATTCAGACACATCACAAAGAGAAGGTAGGGATGTAGGAGACATGATCATGACCTTGTTGATTTTGGTAATATTTGGCATCGGGCTTTTGTGTTCTTGGCTGAGTTTCTCAAGAAATTTCGATTGTGCTTCAATTTTAAGCTTCAAGTTCTTCTGAACCTGTTACATAAAATCCCATAATAACTCACGAATGTTTCATTATTAGCTTGAGTATTTGTATATTTTACAAGTTTGACTTGTTTGAAACCATAAAAAAATCCCCTACTTATTCTTTTTGAGTGTTTATTTTCCAAATAATCGCCACCAAGAACCTTGATTTTTCTTTAATATTAGGAGTATCTACAATATTCCAATTAAAGGAATTTAGTATATTGATCTTTGTTTTAATTTTGATTTATAAATTAACACCTCTATTTAAATATTTAGTGGAGGCAAAAGTATTTGATTCTTTTCTTTGGTGTTCTTATCGTATAAAAGAAAAATCTGAAACTGAATATATGCCTTTGGGAAAAGAGTACCTCAAGTTGGTCACTTAATCTCCTTTGAACTTCCATTTGCATTTGTAATGCTTCGTTTAGCTGAGCACCACTACAAAATAATATATTTTAAAGTCGTTTCCTTATGAATTAACAAGACTACAAACAAACTTGTTATACAATTAATATACAACTCACGATGTTACGCTGAAGTTTGGAAATATTTCCGATATGCTTCTTTTCTCAAACTTGTCTCCTGTTTATTACATAAACTCTAAATTGGTAATTAAGTCCAAGAAAGTTAAAGATTGGGATATTAAATTATAGTAATAATCACAAAGCTTATACGTCTGGATGTTTCGGGAACAAATTTCGACATTCTATATTTCTGCAAAACAAAACAAAACGACATAAGCCAAGTAATAGTTTAATTTTTGGGATACTTAGTTTAAACAAAACAATTCATTTGTATACAAACAATGTATATACCTCTAATGATCGATGGAAAAGTGGGATTTAATTTACCTGTAAGTGGCTTTTAACATGGTAGATAGTAAGTCCTTCTATCCCCATGGCCTTTAATATACCCTTCGGAGTTGCCCCTAAAAATCATAGAAAAACAAGGATACGTAACCAATATTCATCAAAACTAAATGAGCTTCTCCAAAATTCATTCTTTTCTACTGAAACTTCGTATTGACTTACTATCAGGCCCTCCAAGCTGATTAACTGCTTTTTCAAACAAATCATGGAGCTCTTGAGTCCACTTCAGCCGCTCTTTCCCAGAGCCATGATCAGATCGAGTTGAACCCATGTTTGATTAGCCAAGGACCAGTGGTTTGCAGTCGTAATTAATAGGGAGATATTGAGGCGATGTGGGCTATGGAAGAAGATGCTATATAATGTCTGCATAAGGTAAAGGGTTCGGATTAAACTAAGCACAAGGTTGGGAGAGTCCGAAACTTTTGAAACTCGATATCTTGGTTTACATCAACAGGCGAGTTGCCCAATGAATACAGGATATATGAAGAGGTTCAGTCAACTGAAAGAACACGTAAAAAGTAAATCGTAATAAAGTCTAGAATGGAATTTTTGTACTGCAGTCTCTTTTTTTGTGAAGTGTAGATGTTGACCTCCTTTCCATTTTAGGAAAAAGCAAAGTACTTACCAAGAAAAGGTTGACTATTTCTTCGGGTTTATAATAGCAGTTTTGGCCTTTTGGGAGTTTCTCCATAATAACTCAAAAGTGTTGTTTTTTGAAAATGTTCGAGTGTTATTGCATAGCAAATTCCATAGATACATTAAAAAGTTGACAAAAGAACTTCGCTTAATCTCCCGAATAGTGTCACCCGAAGTTCAGATATTTCCGGAAGATGAAAAAGTCCAGGAGAACGATATTTCCGGAACTATTCAGCACATGACATACATATTATGATATTATATTTCCAAACCACATATATATAGGATATTTGTGGAAGATGAAAAAGTCCACGAGAACGATTATATATGGTTTGGTTTTTTTTTCTTTATCTTATTAATTAAAGTGTGTCTTACGCGTCTAACATAAACGATCATGAAATAATCGTCAAATCTGCTAGAGGACGTGTGCAATGTCCCTCGCAAATGCCACTGAGGCGATCTATATTGCTGTTTGTTGGTTGACGCGTATTGTCTCATGGTCTATACTTTTTTTTTTTTTTTGAAAGGCATAATACGTCTCTTTCTTATTATACCAAGGTTAATACAAACATTTCGGGTCTCATTAAAATATGATCCCATGCTTATTCTCGGGAGATTAGTTATGACAGGGAAACTAAATATCACTACAAGAAATCAAGGCTTTAGCGGCGACATTTGCTTTTAGCGGCGACACAACACTTTGTCGCCACTAAAAGCCAATGTCACCGCTAATTGTATCGCCGCTAAAAGCCAATGTCACCGCTAATTGTGTCGCTGCTAAAGTCTTGTTGCCCGAATTTGCGTTATCCCCTTATGGTAGACTTCAGCCGTTCAATCGAGTATCTAATCCAACGGTTGGGGCCTCTTTTTCGCACAAAACCAATACCGGAGACCATTTGTCGCCGCTAAAGGTCGAAATCGTCGCCTCTAATTGTGGAATAAAAAAAACGTGGTACCCTTCCCTCCAGATAGTCGCCGCTGTTGCTGGTTGTCGCCGGTAAAGCCTTAAGTGTCGCCGAATAATCAAGGAGGAAACGATGGGAACGAAGATGATGGTATATAGGGAGGAGCTTTATTTGTTTGTTACATTTGTTGTCACGCTTTGCTACTTGTTAGAATTGTAAAACTTACTTTGCTACTTATTATAATTGTAAAACTTTTGGTTGTTTTATTTTGGTATGTAATTAACTATAATAGTATTTGGTATTTAATCGGATGTTGTTATATATATATATATATATATATATATATATATATATATATATATATATATATATATATATATATATATTTTAACGTTGTTATGTATCGGTTTTTTATATCCAAAATCGTTGATTAAAAAAAATTAAAAATGAAAAATATTATTACCGGCGACGACATTATTAGTGGCGACTTTATCATTAGCGGCAACACGAAGTATTACCGACGACATGAGCATTAGCGGCGACAGTTCTTTGTAGCGGCGACAACCTGATCAATAGCGACATAGCAGTAGCGCCGACTTTTTACCGGCGACGTGTCTCCGCTATTGCCTTTACCGGCGATTAGCTTACTCTCTACCGACGACTATTGTCGCCGCTATAGCCCGAAATTCTTGTAGTGTATGACCCGAAGACGATGCCGGGGAGAAATTTAAATATGACCCCGATAGTTATGTCGGGGATTTCATGCATGCCTCCAATGATGATGCCAAATAAGAAATTTGAACATATGGTTTTAATAGCAATACATAGTCCATTATTAAGAGCGATATTTCCAAAGAGGAAGTATGCCGTTGGCTATGATTATGTTAAGATTACCTAGCGCAGGTTAGTTAGCCGAGATATGGTCTCACTAACACATGTATTTATATTGCGTTTTATTACATGATTGCTTATTGTTTGTGCATGTTCTCACTAATCTTTAAAGTTTACGATTGTCTCTTATGTATTTAGGTAATCATAGGGATGATAGGGGTAAAGGGATAGTGTGATCATAAGGATAGGGAGTTGCAAGGACGTGCTGCCCTTACTTGTACTTTCGCTTATATAACTTGTATTTGTATTTTGATACGTGTATAGTACGCAATAACACTTGCACTCGGTTGATACGAATTGTTTTTCACTTTTGTTACACTTTACTTTTGTAAATATTTTGCTAAACTCTTATTATTATGTTATAAAAA